TCGCTCTTGCTTTACACATGGCCTTTGGAGTGCAGATATGTTCAAGGGACTGTCAGGTTTTATATTTAAAGACTTTCCTCTTGTGTTTTTTTTCCTAAAGCTTTACTCTGTCAAGGCCTGTGCAGCTGGTGTTACGCAGCACATACTTTATTATCCCAGTCATCACTTCAACCATTTAATCCTTTTAACCTTCGCAGTGGCTACAGTAAGAATTACGGGGAGTGAATTTCCTCTTGAGTGAATTTCCTTGGCCACTGTTAAAACCACAAAGAAATCCAGAGTAGTTCCATGAAAAAAGGGATCTCTTGATGGAACTGTTTGCGAAGGACTGGAAGGGGTGAGAGAAATGAGAAGTCAGTCTAGCTGCAGGGAAATGGCTGTGGGGACACCACCGTGGGCTGGCAGCTGCCACATTCCTGCACCCAACTTCCCAGACCTGTTCCAACCACAGAAAAGTTAATTCAGAACAGTCAGCCCTGCTGGGCAGGGAAAGGACCTTGCTGCCAATTGCTGTTTGTGTTGTACATTATCTCCATAGGTTTTGCATCTGTCTTTCCTGCAGTTCCATTTTCTGCCTTCAAAATTCCCTTTTTCTCATTGTGTCTAGTAATTGAATTTGCAAAATATTACAAAGTGACATTAGGATGTGCCTGTTAACAGAGGAGAATAAATTAATTACATGCTGTGAACTAACTGAACTCATTTAGTAATTGATGAATTAACTTATGTCTACAAACAGGAGAACTTGAATGCTGGCAGAACAAACAGTGAAATCTCTCACTGACTGAATCACTAGAGGTTTTTTTAGGTTTCTTTTTCCTTAGTTTAGTAATGGCCACATTTTTAGAATTAGGAAGTTACACCATTTATAGTTTAGAGTTATACCATTTATAGTTGTACCATTTATAGTCATTTGCAATTTAGGGTTCACCTCTGTGATTCCATCCTACACCACTTCCAGACTGACATCTGCTTCTTGAATTCTTTGGAAGCTTTGACGTTTCCAGTTGCTTTTTCTTAACCAAATATTAACACTTGTTCTTCATGCTTCCTTTTTTCACACTGGTCAAAGTTTCAACAGCATCAATCATGCTTCCATTTGAGATTCCATCCTGACTGGATAACCATGATTCTGGGGGTTTTGTGGTCTTCCTTAATCATATTTTTAATGTGCACAGTGGTGTTACATTCTCTGTGTGCACATTCTGCATCTTCTCTCTTCCCAGATTTCCACTGCAGTAATGGATTTGATTATTCTCTCTCTCTCTCTCTCTCTCTCTCTCTCTCTCTCTCTCTCTCTCTCTCTGTAGTCAAGTTCCAGACCTGCACCTGTGTGCATCATTTTGTTTTCCTTCCAGGATGTTTGTGTGGCTTGTACACGTGGATTGATAGCAATCTGCTGCAGCTCAGTTCTGTGTCAACACAAAGGAGCTTTCTCCCATGCCAACCCTCTGTAAATGCCACAAAAACTCCTTTGTGTTTAAGCCTCTGTTTTAAAACTTTATCTTCCTATGATGGCTACAGTAGAAAGGCTGCTAATCTACCTTTATATCAGGTTTTATTGTCTTATTATTCCTTATACTTTCTCTTTTTTTTATGTCTCTCTTTCTTGCCTCAGGCAGTAAACTAGAAAACCAAGCTCATTTTATTCTGTTTTATGTGAAGCTTCTACATCAGTGTGTCTTGATCTCTGTCCTGCTGCAGTAGTTTCCTTCCTTGGATATCACTGGGAAGGTAAACACCTACTGCATAAACTGAGTTTCTCAGGTCCAGAGAAAATCAGAATTTCATCCATCCTTTAATGCTCCATTTATGAGATGCTGACCTTGTTTGCAGCTTCAAAAGGTGGAGCCAGTTGTGGGGAGGAGACTAAAAAATCAGGAGTAATTTGGATGTATGTTATGTTTTCTGATAGACAGGGACATATTTTTCTAGTGCAACTAGAGTTGTTTAATGAATGTTGCAGATCAAAGCAAAAACAAATTTATTTTCAGAATCCAACAGCCCCTTTTCCCATCCCTTGCCTGGCTGTGTTCAATACATGGAGCATTATGTTGTCCTCTAATTAGCTCTGTAATTTCCATGCTGTGTGCCAGCATCAGTGTTTATTATTGAAGCACAATGTCTGCTTTTATCCTCATGATGTGACTGTCCTGTCACAGAAGTCACATGCACAAACTGAGTAGTAAAAGGGGTTCAGGAGTCAGGATCAGTAAATATCCTAAGCTCTGCATGGTTGTGCAGATGTAATTGATGGCAGCACTGCCAGATGCTCACCAGTTCTTGCTCTGGATGCAGTGGAGATCCCTCTCATCTCCTGGGTCTTCCAGTCCCTAGCATGGCTAACAAGGCATTGATCAATCCCTAAAATCTTTATTTTTACCGTAACCATGTGATTTCCCTGCAACTCAAGAGGGGAAGCTGAAGTGGAAATGCAAACACGCATTTAAATAAACCATTTTATAAACCCCAGGTGCTGATCTCAAGAGGGAGTCTTGCATATGCCAGAGGAATATGTTGTTTGAGGGAAAAGCTGCTTATAAATCTGTGCAAATTGAAAGGTAAATAATTTCTGTTTCCAGTACACTGATGGAGTAAGATCTCTGCACTAGTTATTTTTCCTGCTGTGAAGTATGTAGTATATAAATGTATCTGGCATATGTATTTGTCACTGTGCAGCAGCAGAATGTAGGAAGTGAATATCTGTAAAAAAATACTCCTTTCTGCTTCGTAGAATCACAGAATGGTTTGGGTTGGAAGGGACCTTCAAGACCATCTAGTTCCAACCCTCTGCCATGGGAAGGGACACCTTTCACTATCCCAGGTTGCTCATTGCCTCCTCTGGCTTCTTTGCTTCTTCAGCATAACAAGGAAGGGTTCTAAAGTGCTTTGTTTCACTCTGAAATTATTCCTGGCGTGGGTTTCAGGGTTTTTTTGCAGTGTCATATGTTATGGGAGGAGTACAGAATATTTGTCTTTCACTGAGAGGTCCTCTGCAGTGTGTTCCTGAGGCGTGGGAATTGAGCTGAGGTTAAATCTTGAAGTGGTCTGATTGAACTTCCTATCTTTCTTAATTGTTATCTTCTTTCTGTGTGATAATTTTAATTTCGCTTCCTCTTGGGTAATCGTGGAGTAGTCTGAGTTTGTGTTATATCAGAAAAAAGAAACACAGACTAATAAAAGGTTTTGTGCTGTTTACTGTTATTTTTAAAGATACAGACCAGCAGTTCCTTCCAGGTCACTTTGCATGCTTTGACAGACAAAGTGCCACGCTGATGTGTGGAGCAGCACAAATCAATCCAGTGCTGGAGATAAGCAGAGGGGCAGCAGTGCCTGCTTTTGAGAGCTCACTTTGTAGGGACAGAAGTGGCTGTGATCCAGCTCATGGCACGAGGATACAAACAGCAGGTGTAGCTTTGGAGTGCTTCATGACAGGGGCACTTCTGCTCAGGGCTGGGATTAGAGCTTCTATTGAAACTTATATAACAGCCACGGTGCCAGGGTGGTTGCTAAAAATGATGCTGATCACTCTTACGTCCCAAAAGCTGTAAGTCAGAAGAGCTATTTCAAGCTGAAGAAATATTTGGGGTTTTTTTAATTCTTAATGGCCATTGTTTTTCTCCCAGACCCCACTGAGATGGTTTTAAATGTGTCAGGCAGCGGTGGCAATGAAAATAAGTGTTTTTATAATGTAAGACATGGACAGTCAGCTGTGAGTTTTGTTGTGGGTGGCTGCTTCATTATCATATCCTCATTAACATACCTCAGCAATCAACAGGGAATTACGTTTTTTATTATGGCTGTCCTGTTCAATTTCTAAAATACAGCATCAGCTGCTTTTATCCAGCAAATGGTGATCCATTTTGGGGAAAAATCCTACTATTTTCCTGCCTCTGCTGCCCCAAAGGTTGGTGTTCTGCAGAAGGAGCAGTCAGCTGCTATGGTGATGGGCACAGGGTGGGAATGTGGACAGAAATAGAGGGAGGCTGAAGCCAGACTGTTCCTTCTTCCTTATGGTTTCAGTAGCCCTCTCTGAATTGGATGGAGACTGATTCCAAGGATTTCGCAGGTTATTTGTGGTTTTCTGCCTCAGAGTCTCACAATTAGCACAAAATAATACTCAGGCAAAAAAAAAAAAAAAAAATCCAAGAAAAAAAAAAAAAAAAAAAAAAAAAAAAAAAAAAAAAAAAAAAAAAAGAGTGAGATTCTCAAATGGATAATGTTTGTACAGGATGTATGTAATTCCCTGCAGAGCAGCTTGTGCCCGTTGTGCTGGGATTTGGATGCACAGAAATCTCCCTCCTCCCTTCCAGACTGAAGTCAGTTTTTGGTAATGCATAATTCATATCCTGAAGCCTTTGTCACAAAAACATCTTACTGCCTTTCCCCCAGCTTGATAAGCCTGCTTTTGTATTTTTAGGATTTCCTTCCCAGCTAATCCCCAAAATCAGCCTGATGAGGTTTCAAAACAGAGTCCAGAGTAAATCTGAGACAACTTTTACGTCAAGAATGTTGCTTTGTGCAGCAGGTGATTCTCTGGCACCTGCTATTTATGGATTTTGCCTCCACAAAGAATTACTTCCCTGTAGCACCACTGCCACAGTCAGTGCACAAGTGGACTGCAGCTCAAGGGATTCCACCAGGAGGTTTGGATGTATTTTGGATGCATCTCACAAGCAGTGCCTACACACACATTTTGTTGCGAAACAAAGACAGCAATTTTTGGTTTTTTGGTGAATTTTTGGTGAGCTCTAATCCAAAATTACTCTTCCCATGGGGAACATGATGCCTGTATTTAGTGATGGGTTAGTGACACACCTCGATTGCCTGTTCTGACTGCCAGTGCACTCAAACAAGTACAGATTGTCAGGAGTCATAACGTGGTTAAAAAGTCTGTGTAAAACCTGCAGGAAAAGAAAAATTCTTCTCAAGTTGTGTTTTAATTCATCTCTTTGCAGAACAACACAATTCAAACAACTTCTGGTGTTTTCTTCTTCCAGATTCTGAGGACAAACCTGTCAGTAATGAATTGTTCCAGAAGTACACAGAGAGAGCTCTACGTGGTAGAGGCTGTGTTTTCTCAGGTACAGCATATCTTGTCCCTCCTTGGTATGAGTTATTGCAAATACCTTGTAACCATCAGGCTTTTCCTGCTCAAAGCTTTGAGGAGCTTTGAAAGTATAGAGATAAATGCATTACGTGCCTGCATAATGGGTAAATTGGATGTTTCACTGGTGAGAAATAATTGCCTTCATTTGGGGACTCTTTGCGTGTTCCAGAGGATTGTTCCCCAGATCTCTTCACTTCATAGCACTTTTCAGTGCAGCTAAACAAAGCACAGGAAGGAATGTAAAGTACTGTTATCAGTGTAGGAATCTTATTCAGTAATGGTTTGTCATTATTTTCATCCCAAATGATCCAATTTTTTTTTTTTTTCTTGCTGTTTATATGAAGCCACCACAGACCTTCTGATGATGTTAAATTCCAGCTGTGGAGGCTTTGATTGTTTCTTGCACGTTGCTCATTTTAAGATGACAGAATTGTTCAGTGAGAGGAATTCAAATGGAAAAATTGAGGCAGACAGGCCAGTGGGGAAGGTTGAGCCCTGTGCAAAAATCCAGTAAAACTTGAGTAAGAACCTCAGAGTTCAGTGTATTGATTTTCTTGTGAAAGTTCAAGAACTGTGTTTCCTTGCAGGCTGAAACTCATCTCAGCTCCTCATGACCAGCTGAGCAAGAGAGATGGGATTTGATGCTATCCAAGGTGTAATTCCACAGTTCATGTCTTCTGCTAGTGCCAGCTTAATCAGTTTCTGCCCACTCCCAGCCATTCATTTCCAGCTCAGCAGCAATGCAGTGCCACCTCTTCCCTGACCGTGTGGAAAACCAGATGACTGAAAATAACTTGGTCGAGGAAAGAAACGCTTCATTTTTTCCCTTTGTATTAGAATCATTTGAATTAATTTCGTGGCCCACAGGCAGTCGTATTGGTGCTGCTGAAGGTGACAAGAAATGCAGCATGAGAAGCAGCAGTGAGCACTGGAGGGTGTCCCAGTGCTGTGTGATCTTGCTGTCAACAAAAATCTGCTCTGGGACCATATCCTGAATGAAGGGCTTTCACTAGCCACAGGATTATTTATTGAACTGCTGCTTTTCATTTATTTTATTAAGGAAGATTAACATCTTGTTGGGGCAGGTTTGTTTTTTTTTTTACTTGAGGAGATAAACCATCTCTGTGAGAAGTCAGTCAGCTTTGTGGACAGCCATGAATGTCAATAAAGTCTTGGCAAACACAGTAGGTATTTATTCAGCATTGCAAATTAAAAACATTTTTCCTGCTTGTTTAGTGAAGGGAACAAAAAAAAGACAAATTACAGAGCGGATGAGCTCTCTTGATAGTTGGAATTCATTAAGCTGGTGGTGAAAACGCTGGGGGATTGATGGTGCAGAAAAAGAAAAGATGAAGCAGCTTTTCCCCAATAGCTATGGCTTAAGTTCAAGTTGAAAATGACCAAAAAAAAAAAATCCCTTAAAGGCATCTGTAACTGACTTCACAATCCCAGTTTCTGTCTGGGTAGACAGTTCTTTCTCACTGCAGTTAGTATTAATTGGTTTTTCAGTTGACAGATAATTTCTCAGTGGCTCCTCCATCTCCATCATGCCACGGGGTGTCTGCAGCAGCTCATAAATGAGATCCATGGCCAGACGTTAAGTAGGAAGTTCACACAGTCCCTTCCCATGGTACAGACAGAACCTTTCTGCAGACTTGTCACTCTGTCATCCTCCCTGAGCTCCACATTTTATTATTAAAATAAAAAAAAAAAAGGATTTAAAAAGTTGCAGTAAGTTGAGCAGTTTGTCAGATGTTCTCACAGGCCATTGTCTGCAGATTCTGGCTCTGCCTTTCAGATGGATCATAAAGCTGTCGTGAATGCAGCTCTAACAAAATCCATTTACACAGCTCCTGTTATGGCAGGACATGGAAAGGAAGCAGTAGGACTTACTTTTTAATGAATTTCCTGTACAGAATCATCAGTCCACCATGGAAGTCTTTCCAAGTCGCACCCAGTGCATGCTCTGTGTGATTATCCCTGATGAATGGGATGGAGTTCCCACAGTTGACACTCGGAGTCACAGACAGTTCTCATGTCATTCCAAGTGCTGGAATGCTGCTCTTCATCATTAGAAGAGAGAGGGTTCCCCAGTAAGTGTTTAAATGCAGCTAAACCACCTGTAAATCACTAGAATTATTCAGCAGCAAAACAAAGCCTTTGTAAACTTCATTCTTGCAGTGCTTTAATTGCAGACAAAACTTTACTCATTCAAGTGATCCCATCAATGTCAAATAAAAACATGAATTATGAAGCTTGTAAGATGAGAGCTTAAAGTCACTGACATGTCATTCCCATAATTTTCTCTGGAGGATTGCAGAACACTTAATTTGTAACTGCAGAAACCAAAGTGTAATCAGATGTTCTTCCATCTGCAGCTTTTATCTAAGTCATTGAACTCTGGGTTTGTTCTTTCCTGTTGCCCAGGTTCTTACTTGTAAATGTGAAGACACTAACTGCTCTGTTTTTCTTCTTCCCAGTTCAGCAAGAAAATTGCCCTCAACTCTTCGATCATTAAATCTGGGAAGGATGGAGCAGCCCAAGATTTGAAAATGTTTTAAAACTTCCAGCACCTAATTAGAAGGAGGCATCTTGGAGCAGCACAATAGCTCTCTATCTGCAGTTCATTTGGTTTTCCAATTCAGAAATGACAGTTTACAGCCCTGGTGCGAGCGTGTTTCTCGTTAGCCTGTTCTAGGAACACGCAGAGTTATTACAAGTTTTGAAAGATGCTTTCTTCAAAAGTGCAAATGATACTAAACGGCGGAATTTTCTCTCTGGATAGCCACATGGAGAAGCTGTGGTCTGCAGCCATCCCAAAGCTGGTGGTAAAGGCAGAGCCAGCAGCTGGACTTCAGCTTCAAATCCGTGGATGTCGTGGATGCAACTGGATGGAAAAGATGCTGCAGCAGGAATTAGCCTTGTCCAGGGGAGACAGTTGTGATTTGTCCATGCTTTCCTTGTTTCACAGATGGATCTCAAGTTTCTTGGGCTTTTTCCATGAAGATTTTCTTGGAGAGGAGTGTGTTAGCTGTGCTGCTGACAGATACCCTCGTGAGAACTGTCCACACTGGCTTGATTTTCCCTCTTCAGGAGTTGGATTCCTAGTCAGAGCTGGTTGGGTTTGTTGTCCTTGGGGTAAATGAAGACAGAGCTGCGTGTCAGCAGGTGATGAAACTTGAGGAACAGGTGTAATTATTTTTTGTACGTGGCTTTCTGCCCCCTGAAGAGGAGATGGAGAATGTTTGCCTCAGGACTCGACAGATGGGTTCATCTTGCATGGTGGTTTAGGGTCTGGAATGTCAGTTCTACAAGGACTGGCTAAGGGTTGAAAAGGAGACTCAGGGAAGACTTTATTTACCTGAAGACCAACATTTCACTGGGAGAAGGTGCTGGTGAGATGGGAGTCAGCCTCTTCTCCCAGGTAACAAGTGACAGGACAGTGGCAAACAGCCTCAAGTTTCACCAGCAGAAGTTCAGGTCGGGCATTAGGAAAAATCTCTTCATTGAAAAAAGAGTGGTTAAGCATTGAAACAGGCTGAGGGCAGTGGTGGAGTCACCATCCCTGGAAGCGTTCAAAAAACAAGTGGACCTGGCACTTCATTGTAGGGTTCAATGAGCATGTGATGATATTAAATCAAAGGCTGGACTCAATAATCTTGGAGGTCTTCTACAACCTCAGTGGTTCTGTGGTTTCTAGTCAACTATAATCAGCTTTCACAGGGCTTCGAGAGGCAGGTATGGAGCATACCCAGGTATAACAAACTGCAGGAGGGAAGAAAATACAGATGCTTCATTCTTCTTGAAAACACTGCAGCAAGGCAAAATTCTGGACTTCTGCATGGCTGAAGGAAAAAGAGTTTGATTCTGCCTGTGCTCTAAAGCAACTTTATTTTACCCATTAGTGTTTTGTGAGCCTGTGTGGAAGATTCCCAGGCAGCAGGCAGAGCCCGGGGACACGGGCACATCTCCGTCCTGCTGCTTCCTGCCTGCTCTGCTCCACACAGGCACTTTCTGGACAGAAAAGCTGCACAATAAATCCAGTGCTGATGTGGCCTGGCGTGGTGACAGCTCTTCCAGTAACTGCAGGAACTGCCTGCTTGCAGAGGCCCAGCCTGCTCCAGTGGGTTGTTTTCCTTAGAGCTGTTGTTCTGCGCCAGATGGGGCACACGGTGTCTTTGTGCCTCCCTCTGCCATGCAGACACTTTGTGGTGCCTTCTGTGCCGCTGCCCGGGGTGGTTTGTTCCTTTCTGAGAGGCTGTGATGGACCTGAGTGCTTCCCAGAAGATGTCACTGAGAGCAGGGCTGTGCAAACGCTCCAGACTTGCTCGACATCGCTCTGCAGATGTGCTTTGGGTCTGATGTTTGTTCTGCCAGCTGAGATGGGGGGCTGCAGGGAGGTTTTGAAAAAAGGAAAAAAAAAAATGTGCTTGAAAGGGAGTAAATTGTCTAGAACACACTTCACTAGCAGATTTCCAGGAAACAACCCTCTGTCAGACTTCTTAGAAGCTGTGCTGGCTCCAGGTGCTAAGTGCCAGGTCTGAATAGCGCGTAATCAACTCAGTCCTTAATGTTAGGTTTGGAGACACGCTTTTCCCCTAATTTGCAAATCCCACCTCAGCCAGAGCTAGCTGACGAGGTGGGCAGATTTCCAGGCTCTCTGCACCACCTTTGGGATGAATATTCAGCCTTTAGGCACTGATGTGCAGCTTCTGTCACACGCTGGTCTCGGTGCTGCTGCTGCTGAAATGAAGATTTGGTAACATCTTACGTGTTTTGCTGTCACAAGAGGGAGTTTTGCAGCAGTGCTGCCCTTGCTGGTGTGTCTGGATGTAGTCTTGCTGTGGGCAGAGCTCAGCAGACAGAATCTGTTAATAGAAGACAGCAGCACAAGCAGGATGAAGGTCCTTCATTCCTTGTTAAAGCCTTGTACATGTTGTTCAAGCTTGACTAACAAAATTCCTCTGAGTGACACTGCTGCAAGCAATTCTCTTGCTGTTGGTAGCGCTGTAATAGAAAACAGAAGTGAGCATTTGAGTGACTCAAACCAAAGTCAAGGGTAAGAATAAGAAAAAAGCATCAACTGTTTAACAGGAAAAATAAAAACCCGACGTGGCTAGGTATTCTTCTGTGGCATTTCCAATTTATTGTTACAGGAATATCCTCCCAGCTAGACTCAAGCTCCCTCAGGAAGCTGGTTTCATATGGTGGTTTAGATTTAACTATTCATTGTCTAGCACCATTTGAAATCAGTGTTCTTGGAGGAAGAATGCCTGCCTTCATCAGGGAAAAGGACCCTCAGGAGCCTCAGAGGAAAAGAAGAGAAAGTCAAGATCTTCCTTGTGTGGTTCTGCCATTCCAGTTAACCTCCAGCACCAAACAAAGTCCCTCACTGAGACTCCAGGGGTCTGTGACCCAGGTGACCCCTGGGAGAGCAATGGCACAGGGTGATTTCAGAGGCAGAAATTCTGCTGTCATCATGTTTATAATATTTGTGAGTAGTGAGCAATAACTTCAGAACCCAAGAAGATTTTGAGACAGAAAACTAGGCAAAAAAGTAAAATCCAGAACTGTAACTCAGAATTGAAGCTGTTGATTTTAATCAAATAATAATAAATTACTTGATTAATAAAAAATACTAATAAAAACTACTATAATTAGTTCATACAACATGGTGAGGAATAAGGAGGGGAACTACATGTGCTCTAAATTCTTAACTCAAAACCTGTTTTCAGCCTTACCTAGATCTGTTTTTCTCTACCACTTCATCACACTTGTAAATACTTGGTACATGTATCATACAAGACAGACAATCGAATTTGAAACTGGTAGTTCTGCATTGAAGCACTGGCAGTTCTGGATGCTGTTTGCATCCCTCCTGTGTGTTTGGCTTTTTGTTGTGGCACGTTTGGCAGATCAGAATGTGTTTCTTATTTTGTGTGACAAGACCTGCCAGCGTGCAGGGTGGTGGTTGGATGTGCTCGTGGAAATGGCCAGCAACTGAGAATTAGACCACAGGTGGTTGGTGACATTGTCCAAGTCACTGCTGAAATCTGGAGAAGATTTCAAGATTATATTTTTTGAAGTATTTCACTGTATTAAAAATGTGTGTACCTGTTGGTTGATCTTGAAAATTTTCACTGTCTAAACCTCTGTTTTCTCCCCAGTGCTTTAATAAGAATTTTATCAAGTATTTGGGGATTCTCCAATGTGAAATGCTGTCCAGCACATGACTCTTCATCCTTGCAGATCTCCATAACCCCTTTAGAGGATGACTGATTTCTTTTGGTGTTCAGAGTCAATAATAATTTCTAGCACCATTTGAAATCGGTTATAGTGATTGGGGAATTGCACCTCGTGAATTTTTACAGAAGAGGCTCCGGAGAGAAGCTTTAATGGTATGGAAAAAGGGAAGTGTGTTATTTTACTGAATGGAATTGCAGAAATGCTACAAGTTTAAACTCTGGGAGGTGGAGAAGTGTAAAAATGTATAACCCAAGATCTTGGTTTAGGTCCTGTGTGTGAAGATGATCCTTGGAATGGTTTGGAAAACCTTACGGTGCTGAGAGGGAAGATCAAGGGAGATGGTTTTCCCAGTGGGAATTACCAGTGTGGACTTTGGCTCGAAGAAGAAGGACCCCACCCTGTTGGCTTAATGATCTGTCTGTGAGGTATGAGGAAACAAAAGGAGCAGCAGGAAGCCTTCCAATCTGCAGCTCCCATGCTCTGGACTGCTGAAAGCAAGATCTCATGGAGGTTTTCCCTGCCAGCCTGAGAGCTTCTTCCATTCTCCTCTCGTACACTCCTTACAGAGTAAGCCATAAACAACCTGAGTCACCTCTCCAAGGGTGTTCAATATATATGAATTCCTCTGAAATTTCAGTTGTTCAGAGACACAGCTGGCTGGAGGCACAGTCAGAGGTGGGTCCTGTCCCCAGTTCCAGCAGGATCTAATTATCCATGAAAACAAATCTCTGAAAGTCATCCTTCAGTCAGCTGATCCTTTTACATCCAGCTTTTTGGGAGTTGATAATAGCAGCCAACCTACAGCAGCACATCACACACCAACCTGCAGCAAGCCATCCCTGTAGCAGGGCATGTTTTCCTGGATATCCTGGTGAGTGCAGCAATGTACTGCTTTTCCCACTACTCCATACGGGGTAACTAAGAAAAAGGGGTTCTGTAAACAAGTGGAGCAACTTTGGAATATTCAGACGAATTTCTAAGGTTGTGGCTAGTTGTTGGATGCAAATTACCTTCCTTTTATCCCCTCCAGATTTTTTTTATATGTATGAAAATATATTGAAAGTATATTGAAAGCTGGAGAAGGAATTTTGGCAAGGAAATGGAGTTACAGGACAAGGGGGAAGGGCTTTGAACACAGCAGGATTAGATTAGATATTAGGAGGACATTTTTCCCTGTGGTGTTGGTGAGGCCCTGGCACAGGCTGCCCAGAGAAGCTGTGGCTGCCCTTTGATCCCTGGAAGTGCCCAAGGCCAGGTTGGATGGGGCTTGGAACAACCCAGGATAGTGGAAGGTGCCCCTGCCCATGGCATGGTGGGTTGGAATGAGATGGTCTTTATTTCTGAACAGGATAATCACAAACCAAAAGGGACTTTTGTGACCTCTTTCAAGTCTTTTGCTTCCCATCATTCATGACATCCACCCTCATGCTCTCTCTCTTCTCAGACAGAGCTTTGAGAAGTGGTGAGTACTGTGTTTAATACCAAGCACTGTAGGTTAAGCCCTTAAATTAATGGAACAAATTACTGAAATATGGAAAATACAGACTGGCTAGCAGCATGGGTGGTTTGCAGCACGGTGCAGAGCTCTACATGTTTTAGGGGGTTTGACAGATGTTCTTGTGCAGGTTAAAAGCTGTGCAGATTTAAGTGGTGTTGGAAGCGTGACTTGAAAGTAATCACCGTGTTTTAAGTACATCCACTGCCTAAATAGCTCCCATGCAGACAGTTGCTTAAATGATTTCTTGTGGGAAGTCCTTGAGGGAGCAGATGGATCTGTTTGGATTTTGCTGCTTGTGCTGTGCGTGTAGGATTGAAATGTCAGGACTTCAAGGGAACTTGTTAGCACAAAAACTAATCTTAAGGTTCAAACCAGTTACAGAGTGGTGCAGAAACAGGTGAAGAAGGTTAATAACATTTTAATTCTTTCTGTTGAAAGGCAAGAGGTTCTTTGCACCCTACAGTCAGAAAAATGGAGCTGCCAAGTGCTTGGATCTTGTGAAAGTATTTTCAGTCGTGAGCACTGCTGGTGGTGTGCCTGTGTGCTCCCACACAGGATTGTGTCCTGCTCTTGGTGGCTTCTTTAGAGCAACAGGGGAAGAAAGGATGAAAAAAGGAAGAAAAATGCCTGATGGAAACAGAAGCATTTCAGCACAAAATATATCTGAGGAAGAGGGAAGTGTACGTAATGAGTTGGTTTGGTTTTTTTTGTTTGTTTGGTTGTTTTTTTTTTGATTTACCCAATTAAAAAAAAAAAAAGTTGATTTGAGCTCTCAACTCCTGGCCTTTTAAAAAAGTGAAACTACTGGAAGACAGGTCTTCCCTGTCATACAGATTTGGGACATTTTTGCAGTTTTGCAAAATGGTGCCTAAAAAACCTGCACCAGTCTCAAAACAGCAGTCAGGTACCACAGTGGGTAACCTAAACTGTTTGCAAATCTGCTCCATCCTCCCATTGACAGACCCTGCAGCAGTCACAAAATGCAACGTGCAGGGGGATTGTTTCCATGGCCAGAAAAGTTTGTCCCGTTGCCAGTGTTCTGGAATGATGTTAAAATGAAATCAACACTTGGACTAAGCCAAAAGCAGCACTGGAAGTCAACTTCTTCTCCCAAAAAAACCCTCTCACTTCTGGATTAATATAAAATGTGCTGGATGAGAGGGAGAGAAAGATGATGTCTGCTGGGAAATTTTTAATACAAAAATATTTCAGAAATGTCTGACAGTGTACACATTTTTTATTAATGAGTCCTGAAACCACTTCATTCTACTACTTCAAACTGAGATTTCAATTGTTGTCTGAAATTGTTGTGATCTTGCATCACAGTCTCAAAATGGTCAGGCTTCTGTATAAGGATATTCTGTAAAATCCACTGTATGTTGGGAATCTGAGGGGAAGTTAAACTGATCATGTTGGGTAGGGCTTGGGGTGATAAGTGAAAAACTGCTTTGTTTTCACAGGGAATAAATTGAGGGTCAGAACTATAATTTTCATTATAATTGATAAAATATTCAACATTAATTGATAAAATATGCAGGCATAGGATGCTTATGAAAGAGTGGAACAGTAAATGAAACAAAATTGTGATATTCTACAAGATGCTCCCTGATCCCTTCAAGCCAGTTTGAGACTTCCTAACCAAAAATATTTGGGACTTCTTAACGAAAAATTGTGTGGGGATCTGCTGTGTCCTCAGCACACATTTCCAGTGGCAGAATGGGCAGCAGAGGAGGATAAATGCAGGAATTGTGGCTTTTCCTGCGGGCTGGTTGAGTCCTGCTGGGACCTTTGCTAAGTATGAAACAGCAGAGGCTTGTGTTGGCAGAGCTCTGATGTGCAGTAAAACAGGCTGTTAGAGCTCACAGCAGCATAAAGGTGCCAGCAGAGCAAATTCTTCCTTGTTTGGGTAATCCTAATGAAAATAAGTGTTAGAATTTCTAACTGTCTGGTGAACCAGATCCAGTGAGGGCAATGAAGCCAACCTGGGTTAAGCTGCTTGCAACAGGAGGTTGTCACTTTTCAGGTACCACTAGGACAGCTCTGCTGTCCTGGTTTCTGACAATGGTCCCTCAAACTGCTGGGTTTTCTTCTCCAGGTGCTGCAGGTGCATCTCCTCTGGAAACATCCAGAACTTTGGGGTTTCAAGCAGAAAAGCTGGACCAGCTGTGTGCTCCACCTGCTGCTGAGCAAGAGGATGTTCAGTGGGTGCTGGTCAGTGTAATGGTTACAGACCCTGGGTCAGAAGATAGTCCCACTCAGCTCCTTGAAATAGGAGGCAAAAAATATTTTTCCTGATGTCATTCTCACTCTGCTGGGTCTCCAACAACAGTCCATGGAGAGCTGTGTGGCTGCCTACTCCGCTGCCTGGATTGCTGGATATTTAAGTCCCCTTACGTGCAGTTTCTGACTGTGCTGCCTTCTCAGCATCATGTCTGTCTGCCCTAGAGGATTCTTCTCCGGAGAACCTGCCATAGAAGCAGATGACCTGTCTTCAGTCAATAAAATCATTTTCTCTGTGTCAAAGAAGCTTTTTAAAGCCCCCTTGGCAAAAAAAAGGAGAGGTGAGCCTTGGGATCGCAAAGATTTGAGTTCAGTATTTTGGTGCTAGTGAAAGTCACAGATGGTTTGGGTTGGAAGGCACCTTAAAGACCATCCAGTTCCATCCCCCTGCCATGGGTAAGAAGACTTTCCACTGTCCCAGGTTGGTCCAAGCCCTGTCCACCCTGGCCTTGGACATTTCCAGGGATCCAGGAGCAGCCACAGCTTCTCTGGGCACCCTGTGCCAGGGCCTGCCCACCCTCGCACGGAAGAATTATTCACATATTGTTGCAGAGAAAAGTTTTTTTGGTCTCTACTTTCCCAAAGCAATCAGTGTGTCAAGCCCTGTGTAACTCTGGCTGGATTCCAGCCTGGAAAGCCAGACACTGACCCTGATTTGGAGCAGCACAGCCTGGGATGAAGTGGCTGGGAAGGGGCATCAAAGGAGGAGCTGGCTGTGACAACAGTTTGCCAAGCAACACATGGCAGAGCGTGGGCATCAAGAGGAATATAAGGCAGCTCCTTTAACTTCATTGCTTCAAATATCATGACTGTCATTCTTCTATAACATCACTGCATAAAAACCCAGCGGGATTTATTTGTAATTGATGATTTTATGTGGAAGATACTCCAATGCCACCGTGCGGATTAAATCCCAGAACAGACTGACAGCTGTAAAATCCATGAGCACAGGTGAGTGAGCTGGTCTGTTAGTGGCCTCAAGAGGACCACAGAGTGATTTTTTCAGTTGGATTTTGCCATGATTTAATCTTCAGTCTTGCCTGTCCTTACTGTGAAACCGACTGGGAAGAGAATGGCTTGATAGTTCCCCATATGGTTCATCATTACTAAAAATGCCATGAGGTGATGGGATTGCCTGCTGAAAGGTGCCAAAATCCTTATAAATCCAAACCTGTTCAGAAATCACCTCTGGAAAAACGTAAATTTCTCAGGAAATTCATGGGAATTATCATGGATTTCCAGGCTTCCAAATAAGTTGTCACGTAAAGACTCTCCACTATATTTCCAGTGTGAGAACTGAAATCACAACTTGAAGGAAAGAGAAATTCAGTGCAAGTAAATTTTCAAGATTTCTATATGCAAATCAAAATTCCAGTTGGAGAACTTTGGAGCGAAACAATGGTGTAAAAACCCCCACTTTTTAGTTGAGATTAGCCTGGAAATTTTAAGGCGCTCATGAATAATTTATAAACCAGTCTTCCCACGGATGAGCAGCAGGACGAGAGCGTGGCTACGTTTGTCACTGTATTGAGATGTTTCCTGGCAATGGTGGAATTTTTATGGTGTTCTTTCTCATAATGGAGTTGTTGCTTAGCTTTTAATGTCCCAAATGTAAACAGATCTGAGGAAGCAGATCGTTAAAAACGTTTAGAAAGGGCGAATGAAAAAGTGAAGTACTTGCGTGCCGCGTTCCAAGCAAAGCCTATAAATCACCGCCATCGGAATTCTCTGACAAGGAGCAAATGGTTTTATGGACTCACAGAAATGGCATTGGGAGGAATAGTGAAAAGATTAATATTTTAAAATCATGGCAGAAGAGCAGAGGGAATAACCCGAGAGGATTGAGAAGCTGTCCTGAGCTCTGGTTTAAATTTTAACACTTCGACTTAACAAATTCAAAATCTGATTCAAATCTGCTTTGCCATCTTCAGCTCCACTGTCTCTGAAGCTGTGGCACCAGTTGGCTTCACTGCCTGGTGCTCCTGCATTAGCCAGGCTGGGAATGCTTAAATCCATGCGGAGGTTTTATGTGTAGGAGCAGCTCAGGAAAAAAGGGTTAAAAAAAAAAAAAAAAAAGGCAGTTTTCATTTGGTTTTCAACCCTCAAAGCTGCTTTCTAAACTCAAATTTGGGTTTGCAGCTTTCGAGCCTTCAAGAGTCACTTCAGTGACCAACGCCACGTCCTGGGCCGGGCATCCCGTGGGATGCAGGGTCGGAGATGCCAGCCCCTGGAAGGCGCTGGTGCAAGGGGTAGGTGAGTGCTCCTTGTGTCCCCTGGCCCTGGCCCAGCCTGCCCACCAGATGTGAGATGCTGCCTTGGCACGGGCGGCAGCGGGAGCTCGTCGGGAGAGGCCGTGGGTGGAGAGGAGCTGGCAGGGATCCCGGGAGCCGCTGGGAAGAGGTTGCGCGGGGGAGAGCGAGCTCACCACCCACCTCGGATGAAATCATGGAACAGGCGAGCGCGAGGAAAGGCTGGTGAGGAGAAGGAGACCTAAAAAAAAAAAAGGGGGGGACGGGAGAGGAAGGATGCTGGACCAGCGAGGAGAGTGGTTCCTGTGCTGGTGGGTTCCAGGAGGATCTGGTTCTCACAGGAGTCAGATACGGAGCCAGAATAAGAGCAGGAATTTGTCACAGGAAGATTTGCTCCAGCAGCATAGAAAAGAGCTTTGATACCTGACCCCTTCGATGGAAATTCCTTAACTTGTGTCTGAATGGAGGAGTTATTGTTCCCAGGCAGGCTGCTGCTTCCAATCTTAACCTCTAACCAAGCTTGGACCAAGGAAGATGCATTCCTGGAGTGAGGAGAAGGAGATCTCCTCTGGGCCTGGCTGGTTTATAGGTGTGTTTTTAAGGGTTGCTGAAAAAGGACCTTTACAGTGCCACTTTCCTTAAGCAAGAAGTGGGTTGCCTTGGTGTTCCCAGTTCAGTGGGCACATTGTCTCATCCTTACTGTGCAGACCATCAAGGAAAAAGTCCAGTGTGGCTTCCTGTTGCACTTTGAGACTGAACATTGCCCAGTGTGAACTCCTTGGATTTTTTCTCCCCAATATTTATCTGATTTATGATAAATTACACCACTCATGAGAGTAACTACTTCAATCCAATGAGAAGACCTTCAGTGTCTGTGTTTTCCACATGGATTTGTGTCCAAGCTGCCTCCTCACAGCTCATCCCACATAATTTCTGGAGAGCTCAGGCAGGCGAGGAGCCAGTGGAAGGAGCACGAGGTTTTGTCCAGTGCACCCACTGAATACAGCCTGCATCTTCTGCTGGGTTTTGTTGGATCCTTTTCGTTCCTTGGAAGCACAGTTCAGGACAAAACTGTCACGGTCTGACTTTGAGGAATGGGATTCTCAGCACTTCTGTCTCTGCTCCAGCCAGCGAAAAGTGATGCGTAAGACTCCTTCTCCCCCCCGTCAACTCCAGTGGGTGCAAAGTTGTAACTGTTTCAGGAAAGATACAGCCAGAAAAAGAAAAAAAAAAAAACAAAAAAAAAACAACCAAAAAACATTTCCCTAGCTCATTTTCTTTTCCCAGAAAACCAGATGGATGAATCATTACAACAGCAGCTGTGACAGGGGACCAGACAACAGACTGAGCCCAAAGCCCAGCCCAGTCGAGGCAAGATGAAAAACTGTCCAAGGATTTACCAACCCTCCCTCCCACATCTGTTTAAAGGAGCAAGACTCCAGAATTAGGGCATGTGGATTTTTTTTGCATCCTCCGTAGCAGCAAGAGCAGCCATTGCAGAGACCAGGGTGTAATAAATCCAACAGGATCTAGCAGTGAGGTCCAGTGAAGTAATGTGATGGTGTGGTCAGTGGTGATCACCAAAACAGAATCACAGAATGGTTTGGATTGGAAGGGACCTTTGAAATCCCTTAGTTTCAACTTCCCAACAACTTCCACTAGACCAGGGTGGTGCAATCCCTGTCCATCCTGGCCTTGGGCACTTCCAGGGATGGGGCAGCCACAGCTTCTCTGGGCAGCCTATGCCAGGGTCTCACCACCCTCACAAGGACGAATTTCTTCCCACTATCCCACCTAACCCTGCCCTCTGGCAGTGGGAAGCCATTTCCACTTGTTTTGTCACTCCACACTGTTGTCCCAGGTCCCTCTCCAGCTCTCTTGGAGCACCTTTAGGCACTGAAAGGGGCTCTCAGATTTTCCTGGAGCCTTTTTTTTTTCTCCCAGCTGTCCCAGCCTGGCTCTGGAGCAGAGGGCCTGCATCCCTATAAGCATCTTTGTGGCCTCCTCCTGATTCACTCCAACTCATCCCTGTTTTTTCCTGTGTTGTGAGCCCTAGGGCTGGAGGCAGCTCTGCAGGTGAGATCTCACCTGAATGGAGAAGAGGGGCAGAATCCTCTCCCTGACCTGCTGCCCACACTTGTGAAGCAGCCCAGGACTGGGGGTGTGTCTGGGCTGCCATCAGCCATTGCTGGGTCATGCTGAGCATCCCCAAATCCTTCTCCCTAGAGCTGCTCCCCAGCCATTCTCTGTACCTGTTCTTGGAATTGCTCAAGCACAATATCCAGCACCTTAGACCAGAGGGAGCAGCCTCGAGGCTCCATTTGTTTGTGGAGGCTTTCCTCTGCAGGCAGAGTTATTTGTGAGACATGGACATTCTCTTAATACAGCAGAGTCCTATGCATAAAATGCATCAAAATAACACCAGAAGTGACAAGGCTGAGGAAGCATTTAAAAGTTGTGAGATGCCTGCCTTCAGGCTGCCCACAGAACCTCTGTGGGCGTGTGTGGTTCATCCTTAATTACACTTTTGGGAGGTATTTTTTATTCCAGAGGACACTGCCCCACTCCCTGCACGCGATGCTGGTACTCACTTGCTGAAAAGCCACTCAGGGTTAGGGTGGATTTTTTCCTTCTTCACCTTCATCTCGGCAGCATCCGAGTGCTTTGGCTGGAGCAGTTGCTCTGATGACATCTTTTTTTTTTTTTTTTTTTCCCTTGGTGAGGCTCTATTGTGGTTTCTGCTTTACAAACAAAGAACCAGAGCACAGAGAAACGAAGGTCAAAGAATCTGTTAATTTCGGGTGCCCAGTCTGAAGTAGCCAGTGCAAGATATTCAGGACTGTGTGTCCAAAGCGCAGATTCCTCTCATGCCTTTCTTTGTTCTCTTCCAACCCCCTGCTTTGTTCGTTGCCCTCTTCCAACTTCTGCCTCTTGGGCGCTGTAATTACGATTTTTAAATTCAAATGCCGCTCTTAGCTTTCGAGTGTTTTCATCGCTGACTGAAAAGCTGTAGCTGAGCTCCTCTAGGCAGCAAATGTTCCCTTTCTCTCAAGGTAAACAACGAGTCAGGGAAGGTCACTGCAGGTAAAAAGCCACAGGTCTGGAAGAAGAGAGCAGGACATAATTCAAGCCAAAGTACTCAAGAGTGATGTGGAGCTCTCTTCACCTCTCCTGCCCCCTGCGGCTCCCATGAACCCTGTCACAGAGCAAGGGCAGCACAAAGAAGCTGGATCTGGGATAAAAAAATCCTGGGGGTTACCTCAGGTGCTCAGGGCTTGGGTCCATTGTTGCTTTAGCAGAGGCAGCTACGGAGGAATTGCGTTCGGGGAAGCAGAGCAGACCACGGCAGGAGTGGGAGGGCAGAGGGAAGCCAGCGGTACCCAGTGTGTTCTTGTTGTGTTGGGAATAGCTTGTACTTGTGGGACTTGGTCAAATGCCAGGAAAACCCTGAGGGTGAGGCTGCAGTGCTCCTCTTGAGATGTTCCAGCCCCTGGAGCCCTTGGGAACAGCAGTGCTGAACGCTGTGTGCTCTCAGCTGCCCCAGGCACAGCCGGATCCATCCGCACAAGGACACGTGTCCTGGGCTCCCTCCAAGCTGGAGCTCCCAGCACATCCACCTTTCATTCCTGCTGCAGAGTCCTCTGGCCAGGCAGGTTTTGTCTGACTGTGTCCCATGTCTGAAAACACTCCAGCCTCAGCACCTCCCATTTGGCTTTGGCAGAGGGGAGCAGTGGGGCAGTGAGGGGAGGATTTGTGAGGCTGCATTAGCCGGTGGCTGGTGAGTCTGCAAAGGATCTGTCCCAAATGCAGGACAGGCGCCGGGGAGATGAGCACAGCACCAGTGAGCTGAGACCTCAGAAGGCCCCTGGAGTGTGGGTTTGAGTAGGAGAGAGCTGAGAAGGACTTGGGAGCAGGAGGAATGATAATTCACCGTGGAACAATGCCTGGATGGCTCCGAAGGGGACCTGGCACCCATCTGTCCAGGCATTTCCTGCTGCTGCAGGGGATTCCTGTGCTCCTCCTTGCTGGTTCCTCCACCTCTGGATCTCTGCATCACTGTTGCTGTTGGAAACACCAGTATTTCATAAGCTGGAGAGCTCAGGGCTGCAGAGACAGCACAAAAGCAGCTCGAGGACACACAGAAACAGGAAAACCATTTTTTTTTTAAATCAAACTTGCATAGTAATGTTGGGTCCAAGGAATATCTTAAGTCCAGCCTCTCACTCTGAGCAGGACTGTAGCCAGGGTGTCAGCCCTAAATCACCTAAGTATGGGGGGTACAGTTTAGGTGATCTGTGTCCCAGGGCAGCTGTGTCTCCCAGCAAGAGCTGGATGTGTCTCCCACATCCAGCCTGAGCCTCCTGTGTCCCACTTTGCCACTGGTGCCCTTTGGCACAGTCCAGCACGATGGGGAGGACTCTGGCTGTGTCTCTGCACCCCCCTTTCATGTGTTTGTGGCCGGTTCTTAGCCCACCATCAGCTCCTCAGGGCTGTGCAGGGCTTTCTCCCCACTGTCAGCACCATTTGCTCATAGTGAAAGCACAGAAACCCTCCTTCAAACCCCGCTGTGCTCCCCCAAAACCAGGGCAGCAGGCAGAGCAACAGTGGCACACCTGGGGAGGATGAGTCACCAGCAGCAGCATCTCCCACGGGACCAGCCCCATCTCCCACGCTGGGGCCTTTCTGTCCATGTGGAAGGGCCCAGAGGGCAGCTTACAGCTCCCCCCAAACCAGACACCTCCAGACTGCTGGACTGGGGAGATGTGAAGCCCTGGAGGGGGAAACTGGTTCAGATTTCCTGCTAGACCCAGACCCATCCAGGAGACAACATCCAGAGCATCCTGTCCTGCCCTTGGAGGGGGCAGCAGCAGGGTTGGGCCAGGGAAAGCAGTTGGACACAGCACTTGTGTTTTCCATGCTAGAAACCTTCCTACGTGCCAGTTCATGAGGATGAAGCTGTAAATCAGCAGGAAAAGCTTCTCAGTCACCACCATCACCATCTGG